CACTTCAAAAAAAAATTATGTTTTATTATCCGATCTATTAACATTACAAAGTTTTATTTGATTTAAGAGTTATTTATACTACGTGGTCTCGTATAAGCTAGACGTCATATTTAATTGTTATAACATAATTGATTAGTAGAAACATGAACAGTAACTGACCAGAGCTACTGATAAATAAAAAATGCATTTATTTTCATTTATATATTTTTTTAAATTAAAATACATATGTAAAACTAGCTAATTAAAATTAATACCATAAGTTAATATTAAATATTAAAATAACTACTAGTATAGTATTATTTATGCAATAATAAATAGTTAGGTACTAATAAGCGCAGCAGTTCTATGTTATTTATCACGTCTAATAAATATTATCAATTAGTACATTAATTAGACTTAATAACATATGTATTTGTACTACTAGCGGCTCACCCTCGATCCGCTCAGGTTCGCCTCTAGGCAAACAAAAACAAATCTATCCCACGGGAACTGTACATTTTTCCGGGATAAAAAGTAGCGTATTTATTATTCTGATGTATGAAATATATTATGGTAAAGTTTAATTAAAATCCAATCAGTAGTTTTTGTAAACTAAGCTGTGTAAGTTATAATAGTTTTTTAACTATCCCACGGGAACTCTTTAATTTTCCGGGATGAAAGGTATCTAAAATGTTGACCGGGGATATAAGGTTTTCGGAGTTTCGGAGGTTATCCCGTACAAACAGACAAACAGACAGGGAAACAAAAAAATAGGAAAAATCTGGATTTGTTCTATATCTCTTCTTACATCTCCCTGACTCAGTTTTTAGTATTTTTTTTCTATGTACAGACAGTCGACCTCTACAGTTTTTATTGTATGTATAGATTATTTTATCCGCAGTACATACATAGATACATGTATGTACGTGGCAAAAACATTACGGCGTATAACCTTGTACTTGGCCGTTTGGTAGAGATCTCCAGCCCATAATTTGTCGTTCTATTGCTGCGGGAAAAATTTCAAACACATTTTCATACATTTTAATTCTATCATACGTTAGCTTTATTACAACTTACAAGGATAAATATATTTTAATTATTTATCTAAAAACAATTTGTGAATTTTGGGGGAAACCATAATATTCATAGTTTGTTTAAATAATCAGATGTCAGGCAAGGCATTTAAATTGTTTGTTCAACAAACACATCAGCCTCTAACCAGATTGAAATCTCATTAGGATTGTAATATAAAATGAATATTCAGATTCCGTAATGGCCTGATAATGTAACTAATTATGCATTTGATTAGTCAATTCAATAATGAATAAAATAAATTTGTTATCTAAGACTATGCAAAGTTTAGGATTACTAAATTTAAAAAAAACATATTTATAATTAATACGATACCTTTGTAAGGATATAAGGACACAATGATAATATGAAAGTGAAATTTTTGAATATAATAAATTTATTACACTTCTATAAGTTGGTAATAAAATTTTCCATGTATCATATAATTTTCCTCGGAGTTCTAGAGTGTGTATTGAATATTTTTTACTAGCGACTTACTTGTACCTTTGCTTCGCTTTGCTAAGATGCATCACTGGGTGCTTACAGTATATGTTTCTCCAGATAATAATAATCTTTCTGTGTACTAAATTTATCCAAATTACATTCAAACTTTTGCATTTATTCGCATTATAATAGTAGGTTGATTGTATTTAAACATCTAAATTGATTCTTTAGTAAGAGGTCTTTTTCATGTCTTGTTCATACTATGTGACATTGATGATATAGACTGTCTGTACTCACCTGGTACGTTTTGAAGTCATTAACAAAAAAAAAATTAAATTCGTAAGAGTTCATTTTCTTTAGTACGAACATCGAACCTGTTTATTTATTTATTTATTTATTTAATAACTATCTATATATTTTTGGCCGACGAAGGGCTTACTAATGCCGCCCAATTAGTATGATATGCCATTATAAAATACATCAGTCACAAGCTTTAAATAAACCCGCCATCTGCGACTACTAAATTTATCAACCGTCAATAAACAGAATTTAAAAAATGACACGATCCGTCACATTTTTCCTCGTATCAAATGTGGACGTCATTTCCGCGGAGTTAATTCTAAACGCATTGTGAACACTTTGATGTTTGTTGCTACGTAATAACTGGTTACACGTATATTGAATGTTACGTGCAAATTGGTGTTATAATTTTCTCTGAATGGATGTTTTAGTTTAATAAAAATGGGTGATGTGATACAATACAGATATATAGACAGATATGTACCCCCTATATCTGTGAGTGGCTACTTATTATGTTAAAGGTCGTAGGATTGGTTCTCGCATGAGGCTAATGGCTCTCGACCTTGTTAATCGTAATATGGTTAAAATAAAGCGCGGTAAAAAGGTGAAGTTTCCCCGAGAATAAAAAAATAGCTTAAATATCATTCCTCGGTATTTTAAATTTTACACTTGTTAAAATGTAATTAAAATCGATTTAGCTGTTTTTTATACTAGCCCGAAGATACGAGTACATACATATGTACGTCATATCTAATTTTTGCTAGAGATTTATTATCGTGCAAATTATATTCGTTTAAAAAAAATAGTTCTTACAATAGCGGAATATTCAATTTTCATATCTATAAAATAATTGGTTTAATATACCTTAATATGAATACTAGGTTTTCCCGTAGTCTTGCTCGCACAGTATATTCATTTATAAATACACATTTTCTCAAGTTCTGCTGTGGTTGGATACTGTCACATAGCCTATAATCGTTGTCAATACAGACGCTTTAAAATGAAAAAAAAACAATATTCGAGTATGACTGATAAGATTAACGCACAAACAAACTCTAAAGATTTAAATATAAATAGAGCTTTATAGATTTAGTTATATAGTTTGGGTAAAGCCACTGAATTTATATTCAAAACAAATGGTCAATCTCCTATTCTGAGCTTCATTGAACCCTGAATGTTGCAGACGACAAGTCCCTGAGGAGCTCACGACAATGTTAACCTAATTAGCAGATGCTGATGTTACGTTTCTAAAGTACCAACAAACTAGTCGCAATCGAAATTAGGTATACAATCGTATAAATGTTTCCTTTAATCTTTGACCCTACTTTAGTAAAGAAATAATATACATATAAATAAAGCACAATAATTATGATTAAATGTAACTTAACTATGTCACTTACATACTCTACTGTATGTATCTTGGAAAACTTAAGTTATTTATTCTATTAAATGCAGAAAATGTATTTAATATTATCATTAAATTACATGCATATTAAAACACCCAAGCAAGTTTAAAAATGGGATTGGAAACGATTCATTACTGTCTGCATAATGCAACTCCTTGATTAGGCTCTCTCGCCGGGCTACACTAGGTATTGGATTCTTTTGTCAAGATCCTAATTCATTCAGATAGAAACGATGCCATAATCCCATTCTTCTACACGAGTTTATACAACTTTTAATACACGTAGAGCACGATCTTCTCAATAAACATCGAATCGAGATTTTCAATTATTTTTGTACAAGCAAACGACAAATTAAAAAAGTTTGAATAAATAAATATAAAAACTATTACTGCCAAAAAAATGTCAAGAAATATAAATTGTAATATTTTTATCTTCAAGACATTTTTTTTCTAAGAAATTTGTCCACGTTTTCCGTTCATAAAATATGTTACTGAAAGAAAAATAGCATATCTATTTTTCAGTAGTCTAAGCTAACGTTTGCCGTTTTAGACGAATATTTAACCCGAGCGGAATCGAATTCGTGCTTTATAGATAGGCACATAAATATGTATATATATACGTAGGTACATATATTTAAGATATAGTGTTTTATCAACCAAATACAATTTTGTTTTCTTGTTAATACCAGTTATTATATAATTATTAATTTGAACTGCCTCCTTGTTCGAACGCAAATCGCAATCGCATGCTGAAAATCTCAAGGTCCTGAGTTCAATGTCGGACTCAGGTGAATAAATCATTATAAATTATTGACTTTTTCGCATTGCGTTTAGAAAGAAAGCGGTGTTACATCGGTCCAGCACTTAATCTCTTTCCACATGTCGTATTGCCGTCTTATAGGATTATAAAACGAAATAAAGAGAGATAGACTATGATATACATAAGATACATAAGATATATGAGAATATGATGACATATAGATGATATATAAAAAAAACTGCCTCGGTGGTGTAGAGGCTAGCATGTACGGCTGCACACCGGTCTTGGGTTCGAGTCCCGGATCGGGCCAAGTTTAGTTATTGAGTCTTTCTGTATAGTAAGTCTCAGTAACAGCCCGGAGTTGGGAAGTTGGCGGTGTTTCACCCCCGTGCCTCGGAGAGCACGTAAAGCCGTCGGTCCTGCGCCTTAACTCTCACCGGTCGTGTCGAGTGGTCGTCCCACCGGAGTATGAGAGTGATAGGAATAGAGAGTGCACCTGTGTCTGCGCGTACACTTGAGCACTATAATATCTCCTGCGCAGTTGGCAAATCTCAATGAGATTGGCCGCCGTAGCCGAAATCGGCTAGGAGAACATCATCATCATATAAAAAAAAATATTTTTAGATCAACAATATGGGCCTTTGCGGTTTTACAGTAGGTAATTTAAATTACAACCTAATGTTAGTTTTGAATACACACTAGTGCACACTAGTGTTAAAGCGTGCGGTTAGTGGTGCAAGCTTTTTGTGCAATAATGTGAAGAAAATGGATACTTCCAGCTACAAAGCATTCCTAAGGTTTCGTTTAGTAATTTAAGCTATAAAATATTTCGTTCATTTTAAGTTGTTAGAACTTATAGAAAATAATTTTATAGTAATAAAACATAAATACACTTACTAATTATTCTTTTCGGTTATTATTATTTTTTGTATTTTTTTTTAAACAACAAGAAAGTAATGGTCAAGGAGATTAAACTTTAAAGGAGTTACACTTGAAGCAATTAATATAAAAATAAATAATAGGTATTTATGTTTGTTATAGAATACAAAATGCACGCCGGCTGTCTGTCAAAACAGTATTATGGACATTCCAAACAGAGGCGATACCCCGAGAACCGCCGAGGAAGTCTTCAAAGAAGCTCAAGCTTTTCTCAACCAATATTTTTCTTCAATACGCAGGTGAGGGAAACTGTTAATTTTGAATAATGTGGACATTTAAATATGATTTTAGAATAGATAAAATTTTAAAAAAATATTAAATTGACCAGTAACAATAATATAATATGTAATACATAAAAAAATACGACTCAAGAATACGCTATTAATATTTTCGCACTTCCGAATAATTAAAAAAAAATACAGCCTTTAATTTGGAAACTAAAAATGTATTCTTTATTTATTATACATGAAACTTAATTATTTATCATTTGGTCTTTAATGTCTATTCTACAAAAGATACAACTTTAAACTATGTCTATATAATCATTATTACTATAAGCCATCTCCATTCTGACCTACACTCAAATCCATCTAATGAGAAGAAGTAGCATACACCCACACTCTTCCACAGTTACAATGTATATGTGATTATAAATATTGTTTCCATAGAGAAAACACAGAAGCCCATGTAAAAAGACTACAAGAAGTTCAAAGAGAGTTAAATGAAAAAGGTACTTATCAACTCAACACTCCCGAGTTGGTATTCGGAGCTAAGCTAGCGTGGAGGAACGCATCACGATGTATAGGGAGGATCCAGTGGAAGAAATTACAGGTATACTAATGCTACCAATATTTCTTTGCTGCTTGCAATATTTCTTAAATATGAGGGAGAAACATTTAATTACTTATAATTTCTTCGACATGCTCAGGAGGGGCTTATTCCTATTTATTACCGTTATAAGGTTGCATTTTTATATACATATGAGCGTTTTAGTAAAAAAAAATATATTTGATTAATTTGTAATGATATATGTAAAAGTCGTTTATTTATGTGACTTTAGCCGATAGGAATGGAATGCATTTAAAAAAATAGGACGTGGGTATTCATATGTTTCCCGCGCTTTTTTTACAAAGTTTTCGTTACCACTGTTGTAGTTATTGTGTGACTAGTGATAAATTGTTTTTAATATTACAAATGATTATTATTATCAATTATGTATCTTATTATTAAAAGAGTAAGTGTTGAGTTTCCGGCTGTACTCAGCAGAATTGCTTTCCGAGCTACCACCAGCTTCCATACGGACAGACATACTGACGATTTTAAAAGAATTAAGTTGATGTTCCAAAAGGACTGAATATAAGAATTCAAACAAGGAATATTTCGTCATCCTACACCTTTGTGTTAATTTTAACAAATATTTTTGAATTCTTACTTGTAAAACCACTTCATCCAGTTAATTATCTACCCCGAAAATAAATAAGTTCAAGTTTTTGACAAAAATGTGTAAGTGGTCTCGTAATTTCTTTTGAATTAGGTAGGCTTTTCTCTATTAAAGTATGAATATTTGTCAAGTGTCTTAAAATCCGAGTAGTATCTCCCTCTACTGTCAAGGGCAATTTAAAATGAAACTAGAAATTTTACAGAATATTTAAGCAAACTAAAATAATTAGTAGAAATCTTTTTTTAGTAACTGAAAGTGGATCAACATTTAATGTGAACTGCGTCTAAGTGCTCTTATACGTTACATTCTATTTAAACATGATATGAGATTTTAAATAAACTTATCTTTATGGATTTTTGGGAGAACTTATTTAGATTTTTGTTTCCAATCAAACCAAACATAAAATCTTAATTAACCTCCAAAAAATCTAAAAAGATAGTTTTATTTATAATGTAAAATATTCGGGTAAATCTAAGTATTTTAATATGAAAGTTTACCTGGTGTTAGTCTGAAAGACTTCTGACATTACAAAATGTATTATTTCTCAAAGCGATAAACATAATTCAAATAACACACCTATACATCTTTTACACACACTGTTCTACACTAGTGTGTACCTAATTTCAACACCATAGGCATAAATAAATAAAAAAGTAACTTTACTAAAATAATAATAATAATAAATAATAAATATGTTAGAACATTAACACACACCATCTAGTTCCATGGTAAGCTACGAGACTTGTGTTATGGATACCAGATAGTTAATACACTACACATTTATTATAACTTTAAATACATAATTATATACATAATTATAAACACCTACGAATGGAGTACAAAATTTCCTGATCATCACACAAATGAGTGGGATTTGAACCCGCGACCGCAGACACAGCAAGTAGAGTCACAACAAACTGAGCCAAACGTGTCGTTAAATAATATACATAAATATTATGCTTAGCAAAATATTGACTTGTAGATCCTTAGGTAAATTTACACATCTAATTAGTAATTGGTTAAAAAAGAGAATTGTTTTTGCAATAAAAGCAAATTGTTATAGTTTAATATATTGATCTAAAATAATTATATTACTGAATTATAATCATTTTACGTTAGTAGGTACTGCAAAACATAAAATACGTTTATCAAAGTCTGTTTTTCCAGATATTCGATTGTAGAGCTGTAACGACCGCAAGTGGTATGTTCGAAGCACTTTGTAATCATATCAAGTACGCCACAAATAAAGGAAACATAAGGTAAGTTATATTTATATACCGCACAGTACCCCTTTAGATATCTGTATGATCATACTGATTTATTATCACGTTATTTATCAAAATAAGGTGAATCACCGGATATTTGTTGTCTTAACTCAGTACTGAATAGTACTTGTTGTTCTAATTTGGTGACGATATTTTTTTATTTATTATTGCAATAGTTTTTATGAAATACTTATTTCGTTTTTTAATACTTATTTTGGGAGATAATATAAACTCGTTTTATGAACAAATTTTAAAAGTAATTCAGAAATAAGTTTTATGCTATTAGACTTTAGAGGTTTATCTAATAACTAACGACTATTCCTCGCTCCGATCGGATTCGTTCCTAGTTACGTTTTAAAGTTTATTATAAATTTCTCAGAAATGATATATTTTCTTGCAGTAAAAAGTATCCCATATGTTGACCCAAATAACCAGCTATCATCATACCAAATTTCATGAAAATCTGTCCAGCGGTTTCTCTTGATGTGGTCACAGACAGACAAAAGTTCTAAAAACTATAGATTCGGCCTCTGCATCGCTTTCGCTGCATTTGCTAAAAAATATTTAATGTACAGTTTCGACTCAGAATTTTATTACATGTATACCTATAGATGAAGACAGATCACACACTAAAATAACGTTAATGACATAAATAGTAGCAGAAGTGAGTTGGGAAAAGTGAATGAGCCGATCTCAACAAGCTTTTTTGTATACTTTCCTTTGTAACCAAACAAAACGCGTAATGAAAGTTATAACAAAGCAAATTAAAAGGGAGGGTAGAGTTGACATCACCACAATTGTCTTAATGAATGAATGGGTGGATAACTTTTGTAAAAACCTATTATGTAGCAAAAGGGCTTACATTTTGTGTGATTCTCTCAATTTTAATAAAATAGAACTGGTTTTACTTTTAAATAATTTCATACAACTTTTTTATTCAAACTGATTATGTATATAAATATTTTAGTAGGTCGCTTCTTAGGAGAGCTCTCTAACTTATCTTTTAATTCTTAAAAGAATGCCGGCCACATCTCGTTAGACCAAGTAATTTAACGTAGCTAAAGCTGACATCGCATTAAATAGACCCATTTACTTCCTTTGGCCATCTAATTATTTTTTCTTTTCATATAACAAGTGCAAGTGGGAAATAAATCTATTAAAATTTTTAAACAAACTTCAGCGTACCTTTTGAAGACAGATAAATTTTAGTTTTTCTTTCCAAAACAAGCAAAGACACGAATTAAAGCTAGTATTGATTCAATAAAAGATTTATAAGAATCATGTTCCTTTTACTGTTTAATATAATTTCACACTTATTAATGACATGACCCATGCAAATTATCCCATCGATTCGCAATCTAGTTGTGCATCCCATTTACCCATCACCTATTTGTAGGTCGGCGATAACTATATTTCCTCAACGAACAGACGGTAAGCACGACTACAGGATATGGAATCCGCAACTCATTAACTACGCTGGGTATACAGAGCCAGATGGGACGGTATTGGGCGACCCTGCTAGAGTTGAATTTACTGAGGTATGTACAATCTGTTTATATTTTTATTTTATTAATATACACCTTTTAAACTTATCTCCAAATTTGGCTAAAAATTATAGGAGATGAACAAAATAGCCAGAAAGCAAAAAATACTGTTATAATTTCGTTATACTCTTCTGTTCTAGACAAGACTTATTAGTAATGAGAACTAATTTTTAAGATAGTGTCTCATGTAAACTCTTTAAAAGTTAGTGTAAAACTTTTTTTTATATTTTCATAATTTCACTGCAGAATTATTTAAGTAGCGTTTTACATGATACACTTACAAAATTTTAGCTACAATATTCTAATAATCTTTGAGGAAAATGGCTGATGGACGAACAGATGGGCATGAGGAAATTATAAGGTTTGGCTTTTGTCTTACTGGATACGGAACCCTAACAGTAGAGGCACTTTAAACATTTAAGGCGTGGGATCCTCAGTTTCTCATCTTACGAAATACGATGAAAGAAATATTTAATTTCACTGACGATAAAATTAATATTCTGAATGCGTATTTTTTTTTATTTTTAACCCAACAAATTATACTAGATTAAAGTAAACATTCATGTAGGTGATTTGAAAATTTGGTGCGTCCCTATGTGTGTGTAATCTATCTGTGCACCAAATTTCATCCAAATTTGTACAACGCTTTTAGTGTGAAACTTTCCCACGATATGGTTTTTTGGAATACCTACCTACATCTGCCCTATAACTTGGTTTATCAAAATAAAATCAAACAAAATACATTCAATAGTAGGTGCTAGGTACATGTGTATTCAATCGTACAATACTAATGTTAACACGAAAACATAACAACAACCCGTAACAAAATGAACATAATAGATTCCATGTTTATATGAAAACTTATGTTAAATAATTCCTAAAATTGCTGGCACCCTCATAAAGATTCATTTATTTTCATAGTTTACAAACATTTGCTTTACACTTGTAATAAATGTTACTAATTTGTTTATTTTTCAATACCAGTACGTTTTAAAATTTTAATAAGCTTTTTGGGTAATAATTTTTATAGTAAGGCATTTTTCTTCATACATATTAACATATCGATATCCCTATATATTAAACCTTTTTGATATATGTTCATGCAGTTTGATAAAAATATACAAAACAAAAATAAAATTGTATTTTAAATAAAACTATATCTTCGGATTTATTTTGTTTTTTTTTTGATAAAAACTTTATTATATAATAATTTTACTTATTGTTGCTATTATTATATTCATAAACTTAAGGAAATTTAATTGGAATTTAAGCCAAAAATGCAAATAAATAATAATAACGAAAATATAGTTTTATTTAAAATGTTAAATATACGCGTAAATCGAAAAAATATATTTATGAGAACATTATTTATAGCTTCTTTTGTATTTTTCACATTATAGTGTATTTTCTCGTACTATAAAATTTTACATGTTTTTAAAGGATGTTTTGCAAAATCAAGTTCATGTATTAAATAGTGATGACATTTTAGATTTGCATAAAGCTTGGATGGAAGCCGCCTCGCACGGCGTGGGATGTTTTACCCATAGTGGTGTCAGCGGACGGCAAGGATCCTGAATACTTTGACATACCTCGTGAAATTGTAATGGAAGTTGAAATGGAACATCCAGAGTAAGTGAAAATATATAATTTCTAACAAAATCGTAGAAAATTATGTGATTCTGTAATTATGAAAAGAAGTAAATGTTCCAGACTTTCTAATTAATGCTTTACAAATTAACTTTGTAATTTCAATACCTTAAAACTCATAGAATTGTTAGCTTCGTAAAGTTGTTATTAATGATGCAAATGTTTCTTCAACTTTGGGGTAAAATCTCTACCAGCATTACGTTGTGTTGTACAATCTTAAGTAAATGTTGAACTGGTTTCATTAGTACATAATCTATTATGTATATGAGTATGTGCCGTGTCGAATATATTTATATACAAGTGTATTTTAAATTTTGAAATTATTTTCTAGACTATAATAATATTATTTTTTTAACTATTTCTATACATATGTATCTATAATTCAAATAGAACCAATTTGAATTCCTAACACGTAAAGCTGTATTCCACTGAATTATTTTGTAATTGAAAATATGAAATGGTTTTATAATAATATGATACTTTTCCATAGTTCTAAATTATTTTACAGTTGCTTAAAACTTAAATTTCTTAATGTAGAAAAACTAAAGTTTCATCGCCCGTTCATACTATTCCAATTTACACGTATGTTTGCTTGGAAAAAAAGGTTGAGTTTCAATCGGCATCGACCACGCGTATTTATTTTTCAAATGTTTATACCAGTGACAGTTTTCTGTACCGTCTAACAAAACATAAACACGTGTATGTTGAACTCGTCGATTTTCACTTCGTTTATCGCATTTATCTTATTTTCTTTACTAACTTTGACACCCCTTTGAGCCGTTTAGGATTCGAATTTCTAGAAATTTCTTTATACTACCTCTTGATTCTACATATATAAGAAATATTCCTCTTCAAAACTCTTGATCCACTTGATATAAAATTAGTTTTGTATATTGTACATACTATATGTGATGTATCTGCTTACTAAATGGGAGGTAGTGGGTTCGAAATCGTTCATAATTTATTTTAACTTATTATTTTCAGATATGACTGGTTTAAAGATTTAGGTCTAAGATGGTACGCGTTACCGGCTGTGTCCAATATGCGGCTAGACTGCGGCGGGCTAGAGTTCACGGGAACCGCCTTCAACGGCTGGTACATGGGCACTGAGATCGGCTGCAGGAACCTATGTGATTCTAACAGATTGAATATTACTGAGGTAAGAATGTAAAAATGCCTATACAGGGGCATTTAGATAATTTAATGTTATTTTAACGAAAAATTAATTATTTATTATATCTTATATGAATAACTAGGTACGTCTGTTAAGTCAAGAATAAGCAGTTTTTATACTTCATACTAGCGACTCACCCTTGCTCCCCTCTACAACATCACAAACTCACAAACTTTACCTCTTTATAATATTAGTCTAGATGTAGCTTAGACATTGTAAAAATAGCTGCGAATAATAATTTAATTATCAATTATGTACAAAAGTAAAATAATTGTTATGATATTTGAAATATTACAATATAGTAGTTTCTCAACGGGGCTTTTAAAATAACACTTCTACTCTTCTATATTAGGTAAACATTGTTATTAAACCCACAATTATGGTCTAACGCATGTATTATCCTATTCCTTCTTAGACAGATAACGCTTATACAATTCTAAATGTAAAAGTTATGCAGATTTGTAGAAGTCGTCTTTGCAAGATTCCATACAGTTAAAATTATAAATAACATATAATGTAGAAGTTTATTATTACCTTTACATATAAAACTAATTATACGTTTTATTTCAATGCTTAAAAATAAATAAAAGTCCGTCTTTATACTGAATAGGCATTATTAAGTTCTGTTACTTTAATTAGTTAGATATTCTCAGATAGCTTTTAAAAGAGGTTAATAAATTGCTGTTTTTGCTTCGCTTTTCATTCAATGTTCTCTTTGTACATTAATATATCAAGATACCCGAAAATCCAAATATAGACTATCATGAGTGCTTTTTATTGTGGTATAAATAAAAACTGAAAAAGGTTTTTTTATCTTGGTCGTGAAGTAGTAAGTACAAATGGCATTTAATACTGAACCAGAGGTTCTGGGTTCAATTCTCGCTTAGAATATAATTTGAAATGACTAAGTTTATTTATTGTGCGTATTGTGTATATACTTACCTATATATTTTAATATAATATTTCTCACTCCACTTAAACCCTTTCTCGGTGGAAAAGATATTTGATAAGAATATTAATCATTTTCAAATCAAACAGCCAATTTATTTCAAAAGCTTTAAAACTACGCAGAACTGCCGCCAAAAGCTTATTTATAATCAATAGTTGATAGCAATTTAAATATATTATTTAAAATTAAGTAGGTACATAGAATGAAATAGAGTTGTTTTTAAATATATGTATTATTTTATTTGCAGAGTGTTGCAATTAAATTGGGACTAGACACAAATTCTTTTGTCTCGCTATGGAAAGACAAAGCATTGGTGGAAGTCAATATCGCAGTACTACACAGCTTCCACAGGGATAACGTGTCCATAGTGGACCATCATTCTGCTTCGGAGCAGTTTATAAAACATCTGGATAATGAGAATAAAAGCAGGTACCTACGTGAATTGTATTTATTCCAAACAGTATTCTGCGATATAAATAGAAATGGAGACTGGGAATCAAAATTCACATTATTATAAAGGTTAAATGGATTAAATCCATTAAACTTTTTCACTATACGTAATTTGTACTAATAATATAAAGACAGTCTTTTCAAAATGTTTGTGTTTGTTTGAACGCAATTTTACGCAAACAAACTACAAGAGCGGATCTGCGGGTAAGGATTATTAATATTTCATAAAAATATCTAAACAAAATAATAATCAACGTATAAATGAAAGAAATATAGAAAAATAAATTGATAAGTTTATAAGTAAATGATCGAGGCTAATACATAACATAGAAGAATATTTACTTAATAAAATAAAAAACTATAAATAATAATGCTAATTGATTTTATAAGTTATACTATAAATATATATATACTATGCAAAAACAATTTGCTTAAAATCAGTGATATTCATAATAATATCCAATTTATACTCATCATAACGTAATCATAACTCATCATAAAGGTATTTGTTTATCTATATAAATAAAAGTGAAGTGACCTTCATTGGTAAGCTATTGAGAACATCTTGTTCAATTTGGCTAAATTGTTTTGTGATTATTCAGAATAGTCCTAATATAAATTAAAAAAAATAAAATTAGGAAAATTTAATGAAATCGGAAAATTTGAGAAAAACAGAAGTGAAAAAATACCATCGTTTCTCAATTAATGAGCTGACCAACGAAAAAAAATATAATTTTTATTTATATATATAACTATATAAAGTAGACATACTTACCAACGTATTAGTAAGCTATTGTAAGTCAAATGCATTCTAAAATGTTCTAAAGTAAAAAAGATACGAGTATCGAGTACGAGTAAAGATAGAGATCACTTGCTATGCAAAACAATTCAATTGCATTTCCTTGGATATTGAAATAAATTTCTTTCTGACTCTTTGAACAGTATATATTTTGACTTTTATAGATATTGTTTTAAAATATTCTATAATATGTTAAATCTTTGTTGAAATATAACGTAATAAACGTGTGTGTATACTTATGTACGCACACTAAGAATTTATACTTCTTTGGCGTAACAGAACAAAACTATCTAATGATTTCATCCCGTATGTCACAACTTTCTGTTTGTAAAAGGAATGCACCTAACTTCATCATGTCGCCTTTTGGCTGTCGGTGTGCGCACGCATCGTAAAATTTTATACTTTTACAAACGTGCCAAAAGAAGTACAACTTCAAAAGATGAAAACTAAAAGTTTTCCTTATCATAAAGAATCTTACACACAAATACTTTATATTATACTTGACAGAACTTGACGATTAAGATTGTGTTTTCCCGTAAGAATAATAGATTTTCCTGTAGTAGTTTACTATACCAAATTTTGTTAAGATCGGTTCAGTAGTTTTTGCGTATAATGCACATAGATGACAAACAGATATACAGATAAGCAGATACAAATTTCAATAATAACTTTTTGTAGTCTATATTCTGTACTAAATACGTTACAGTTATTGTTATTAAAAAATATTTCATGTAAAGATTTTGCTTTGTTACTATTTTATTATACAATACTAGCTAGGTTGATTCCCCATACAAACTTTCATCTCTATTTTCACCCCCTTAAGGGATGATTTTCGAGATAAAAAGTATCCTTTATCCTTCCCAGGGTCTCAAACTATCTTCTTACCAAATTTCATTTAAATCGGTTAAGTAGATCTAGAGACCCCTGCAACGTCACAAACTCACAAACTTTACCTCTTTATAATACCTATTAGTATAGATGTATAGATAATTATATACACTCTACTTCTTTTGCTATGTTTTTACATTTTATATTTTGTTTCCTCCTCCATGATCTTTATTTATTGATTTAAAATTCTTATATCTGTTTAACAACGAGTTATTTAGTAGGTATAACAAGTTATTGCTATTAATAAGAATTTTATATAAACAAAAGAAAATATAAAACACACCTTAAAAAACATAAATATAGAGTTTTGATATATTTCGTTCTTTTCGTAGGGGAGGATGTCCCTCTGACTGGGTGTGGATAGTTCCGCCGATGTCATCGTCCCTCACATCAGTGTTCCATCAAGAAATGGCGTTGTATTACATGAGGCCGTCGTACGATTACCAAGTAAGTTCTAATATTGATAAAATTTATTTATAACTTATTTACGTAGAAAAAAATTGTTTCTATTTAATTTATTTCTTGTGTTATAACAATATAACTTGTGTTTTATATCTACATATTTTTAAAAACAAAACCTCTAAATTTTACTGATGTATACGTATTTAATATAGTTTCCGTTATTTAAAGCTGTTTGCCAATTTTCATAAAACTTCTTTTAAGAAATTTGTTTTAAGCAAAATTATATGTATTTTTACTCCACCCTACCGATTTTGAGTTCTATTTTAAATTAAAAAATAATATATTGCAATAAAGGACCCACCATGGAAAACTCACCAGTGGCACAAAGAAGAAGGCACCCAACCAAAGACTAGAAAATTCCATTTCAAACAAATAGCCCGAGCAGTCAAATTCACATCGAAGCTGTTCGGACAAGCGCTCTCCAAACGGATTAAGGCGACGATCCTTTACGCGAGTGAGACCGGCAAGTCTGAACAATACGCTAAAGAGCTGGGCACTATATTCGGCCACGCTTTTAATGCACAGGTAAATTAATTTTCACGATATTTAAATTTTACTTATATTTTATATTATGGGTAATACGTAGATATATATTATAATTTTACTTATATGTATGTATTCAGCAATTTTTAGCGTCCCACTGCTGGGCGCGGGCCTCCCTTCAATACGAAGGGGATCAGGCATAGTCCACCACGCTTGTCAAATTCGTGTAGGTGGGCATCACATGTCTTTCGAAAACTTGCTAGGTTCTCTAAGACATGCAGGTTTCCTCACGATGTTTTCCTTCACCTTAAGACAAGGTAATCATGTTGGAAAATGTTTCGCACACGAGAATATCAGAGATGCGCGACCCGGGATTTTAACCAGATTTAATCGGTTTCCCAACCGAGCGCGCTACCTCTTAGTTACCTCTGCCTTTATCGTACTTACTACTTACGTATGTATATTTAGTGAGAATTTCGTAGTTTAAAACGAAATGAAATTATAAATATAAATCTAATATGATGATAAAAAACTCTACCTAATAATAATAATGGAATAATGGGCTGAATATTTTAAGCATTCAATGACAGTAATTTAAAAGTATAAATAAAAAAAAACAATGTTTAGGTGTATAGTAATACTACTTCCACGCAAAAATGGTTTATATGACATCTATTCTATAGTTATATTACACCCGGCTTTCCGACTATTTAGCTTTAAAAGCTAATTTGTTTGAACTAATTGCTACTCACACCAACTACACGTCTATTACTGTGCTAATTTACAGTAAATCATGAATATAAAATCATTTCTTGAGATAAATTATTTGTTTTAGGTACATTGTATGTCAGAATACGACGTGTTCTCGATAGAACACGAGACTCTCCTGTTGATTGTGACTTCTACTTTTGGAAATGGCGAGCCGCCGGCTAATGGAGAAGTATGTATTCATATTACTTTAATAAATTAATTGAACCTACTAAATATTTAAACCATAAGTATATAAGCGACTAAGGAACTTTTTTGCATACATGTTTGTATATATATATATATATATATATATATATATATATATATATATATATATATATATATATATATATATATATATATATATATATACTAGCGACTCACCCTCGCTCCGCTCGGGTTCGTCCCTGGGCTGGGAGGACCAACCTTATCCTTATTACTTAGGGGTATGGAAAATAGATAGTAGCCGATTCTCAGACCTACTGAATACGCATATAAAATTTGGTAAAAATCGGTAAAGCCGTTTCGGAGGAGTACGGTAACAGACATTATATATAAGATATATATATAATATATATTATATATATATATATATATATATATATATATATATATATATATATATATATCGAAATATATATATAAGACTATAAGTCGGGAATGTCCCCAGCACTCGAACTTGACTCGAACCTGCAACCGCTAGCACAGCAAGCAGTGTCACTAAAAACTGAGCCAAACGTGTTGTCTCAAAAGTGAATGCGTAATTTTTTACGGGAATAAAATAGTCAACCCACCTGAAAATATAAACCTTGTTTTATTCTAAATATGGTCGGTGATTTACATTATATTTAAACAATATAGAATTACAAAAGAGGTGTCATTTTTCACACATACACGTCAAATTACTTGTTTTGCAATAAAATATGAATAAGTATAATATGGTATTTCACAGGGCTTCGCTAAACACCTGTGCCAGATGCTGTGCAATGAAAAGATGAATATTGGTGATCAAACTGACAGTGCTGGGTAAATATTTTTAATATGATACGATTACTAACGCTAAAAAATATTTTTAATATGAACGTAAAACTAATGAATTACATAATATAATACGTATAGACGGAGTCTGCCAAAATAAACGTCAGAGTCAAAAAAATTGCGTGATTTGCTGTTCATGCTACTATTATCGTTTACTTTGTTTAAAGAAAATAAGCGATAATAGTATATATTAGTTAAAATAAAAAAAAATGAGAATAAAATATAAATAATAAAAAAATATTCTTTAAATTATTTTTTGACCATTATTTCTCCTCCCCTTGGAAGAGAGAAAGTATAATATATTAGCGAAATTTATTTTTTTCTTTATTATATAAAATCCGTGAGCTATTTTAATTTATTTTTTAAAATATTCCCTATCAGCTATCTAGTAGATTTTTTGAATATTTTTTTTATATTATTTAAAAAAAGAAACTTTAAAATATAAGTTATGTCAATCAAATTTCATTAAGATCGGAATAGCAGTTTGAGAGCTCCACCTATTGACTAACCTAAAATTAATACCTTATGCATATGAAGTTATATGCGGTATTTATAAGAAAAACACATTTTTTTTAAATTTTGTCTGTCTGTCTGATTGTTCCGGATAATTTCTGAAACGGCTGGATTGATTTTGACGGGACTTTTACTGGGAAATAGCTGATGTTATAGGGAATAACATAGACTACTTTTATTTTAGAAAAAGAATTAGGGTGCCGTTCAAAAAAATTAAAACGTACTTACCTATGGACGAACCCGAACGAAGAGAGGGTGAGTCGCTAGTTAGTCATATAAATGGATAGAGTAATTTGAACCACCTTTTTCATTTATAATCAGTCTCAACAAAGTCCCAACGCCGAAGTCCCTAATGCGAACCAACAGTGTGATGGCACCAAGTCTTGAATACAAGAGACAGCTCTCCCGCATGGAGTCCAACAAGACAAACGTAAACGACTACAAGAGACAGTTGTCCCGCTTGGAATCTAATAAGAGTAAGTTAAATTTATACATTCTTGTATTGTAATTAACACAATAAGCAATAAAAAAATCATTGTTAATTTTATTAGGCAGTGTAACAGTAACATCGTCAGCTGAGAACATAGGACCATTGAGCAATGTATGCTACGCGGTGTTCGCGCTCGGTTCCAGCGTGTATCCAAAATTCTGCCAATTTGGTAAAACTGTTGACAAAATTCTGGAAGATTTGGGAGGAGAAAGACTTTTAGAACTGACTTGTGGAGATGAAATGTGCGGTCAGGAACAACAGTTTCGTGTTTGGTCTTCTAGTATATTCCACGTAAGTGATCATATTTCTGTGGTGTCGGGAAAAAACATGGTATAAAACACATATTTTCAATATGACACTTTAAAGATTTGATTAAATACAGACCTATTTAATTTTTTTAAGAAAATAGAACCATTTTATTTTCTTCAAGTTAGAGTTATCAGGCTAAGATTAAAATGGAAAATTTGAATGTCATTGTAGTTTATGTTTCTCCCCGACACCACAGACTTGCATTAAAATATTGTACCTCAACTTGTTCCAAATTTTAAAACTTATAACAAAAATATTACATTAGAAATAAAAAATACATACATAATATTATATACCTACTTGGATACTTAAATTTTAATAAAATTTAAGGTTGCTTGTGAAACATTCTGCTTAGAAGAAAACGATATGGTAAAAGATGCTAAAAAAGCCTTTGGTAAAATACCGTTAACTGAAGAAACTGTGAAATTCAGTAGAACAGAGAACAGACGAGACATGAAGTATGCGCTGGAACATAGTTATAAGAAGCAATTCATTTCGTGTAAAATTAAAGAAAATAAATATTTAGGAGAATCAACTTCTGACCGGTCTACCATATTTGTTGATATGGAATCTGATGTAAGTATTACTGTGATAATGTTATGAAATCGACACTAAGAGTTTTTATATGAAGGTTTTTTATATCAGAGATTATAAGCCTAATTCAACATTGCTATTGCATTAGATAGCTCGTGTAAGGATTGTTGGTCGGTCTGTCAAAATCAGTGTACTATTATTGTTAAACTATTTTTGATTAAAATAAAAAAATGTGACACGTTAATCTTACATTATATATAAAACAAAGTCGGGTTTGTTACAACATTTATAATTCGAGAACTGCTGGACTTATTTTCATGGTTTCTGATTTGTGGGATTTGTCTCCGCCTCTCCGCCTAAAACCTCAGGAAACTTCACGAAAAAAAATATATATTTGGTTAACGCTGTTCTAGCTAAATAAGCTATTTATATCTCTTTAAAACGTACCTAGCGACGAACCCGAGCGAAGCGAGGGTGAGCCGCTTATATATGTATAAGCACGAACTTCATGTGGGCATATCTTCAAACTCTAACTGGCTATATTATTTGTTCTAATAAACATATATATTATACTATACAAATACTTATCTACAGTAGATAAAACTATGCAAATATATTACGAAAGTCGTAAAACATTTTCCATATTTTTATGTTATAGTCGGAACTTAAATACGAGCCCGGCGACCACGTGGGCATCATGCCTTGTAATAGGAAAGAGATCGTAGACGCTGTGTTGGATAGATTGAAGGGTGTAGATAACTTCGACAAACCAGTACAATTGAAAGTTATGAAAGAAACTCTCACACCAACAGGTATATTACTTAATACTATCTTAGATTTATGTGAATATTTGACATTTTAAATGAAACTATCTTTTCGGATTTTGAACCGTATTCAACCCTTTTTAACGTCCCACTGCTGGAGGTGGGCCTCCCTTCAGTACAAAGGGAATCAGGCCATAGTCCACCGCGCTGGCAAGTGCGTGTTGGCGGACTTCACATGTCTTTCGAAAACTTGTTAGGTCCTCTCAGACATGTAGATTTCCTCACGATGTTTTTCTTCACCGTTAAGACAAATCGTAATCATATTGAAAATGATTCGCACATGAAAATATCATAGATGTGAGAGCCGGGATTTGAACTCGCTTCACTCGTGTCCCAAGGGAGCGCGTTACCACTGGGCTATCACTACCTTACCATTAACCATGTTAGCTGTAAATCATTCGAAACGTCTGGAATAAAAATATAAAACAAAACCGCGATAAATCCGAAAAAAAATTTAAATTTAGAAAGTAAGTGCATTGCTTATTTTCTAGCAAATAAATAAATGTGTAAGAAACAAATATATCATTTTATATATAAATTAGTCCTATATAAAATACCTAGAATCAAATCTTTAGTTGTTTTGCTTTTTTTGTTAAAGTCTAACATTTCAAATGATGATAGTAATTTAAACAGGTAAATTGATTTACCTAGCCATAATGTGCCATAAAATTATATATTGACGCCGTAATACTAATAGTCCAGTAAAAAATAATAGGGAAAAATTGTAAAAATGTTTTAAGAATTTTATGTAACACTAGGTTTTGCATGCGACTTCGCACGCGTAAATAAATATAATTTTTTTTTACATCAGACATACTCGTACATCATTTTAAAAGCAATTTGCAAAAAAATACGTACCTACATTTTAATTTATATAGAAAAACAAAAACGTGCATATCACATAGTCTGTCCCACCAAAATAAAGCAAGTACGTCTGCTGCATGCACGATGGTGGCCAATATATAATTGGTGTCATAATGTCTGAGCGTTTCGTGCAAGTTAAGCCGTCGGTCTCGATTGATGTCGATTGATAGTCGTTAAGCCATATCAACTCTATAAATGAATTTCACGGAAACTATTGCATCGGTTTTAAAATAGATTGGTTTGATAATTACTGAGTGATCATGTCATCATAATATTTAGGGCATTTTTATCCTGGAAATAAAATTAAAAGGTTCACTTTGGGAAAGGAGAAGTTAGTTATATGAAAATCCATTTTTCATTATGTATATGCATCTACTACGTTCATTTTGATTCAAATTGGCATGATATTAACTTAGCTGTCAAGTTATTACTTAGTGGCTAGTTTCTACCTGGTTACGTTAAGTAGTGGTATCATAAGACTGAGAGTAAAAGGATTAGAGAGTGGAATTGTTTGTGCATACACACTGCGACACAATATCTCCTGCGCAGATGACAAGTCTCACTGAGATTGACCGCCGTGACCGATATCGATTAGAACATTATTATTACGAGTATTAAATAAGGATTATATTTTATAATAGCCTTCCTTAATATAGTGTGAAAGTCTTTTCGTTGGTTTTATTTGTGTGGTGTTGGTTGGTGTGTTATACATAGATAAAGTTTACTGGAGGGAAAGTTTATATCCCAGAACATAAAGAGGTTCTGAAAAACGAGTTAATAGGTTTAAATAAATTCTAAATAATAATTATATTAATGCGTGCTTTTCTTAGGTTTACACGAATATTTTAATTTAAATAAAACAATTTGTTCGGATTTTTGTGGTATTTTTTACGTTGTATCAAATGCTACACCAATATACTTTTATAGGTGCCATTAAATCCTGGGAGTCTCACGAGCGGATACCAGCGCTCTCCGTACGCGAGATGTACACGCGGTTTCTCGACATCACGTCGCCGCCGTCCATCAAAGTGCTGAAGTACCTCGTCTCAGTGTGTGGCGACTCGAGTGAGGCGGACTACTTGAGAGAACTGATTGAGGTGAGATTTGTGGATATCGTAAAGATTTCAATTTTTACTCGAAAAATTATTTTATATTTATGTCTGACCATTTTGAATTCCCAACCGTCTTATATTTATTATAGGAATAAACACAAAGTACTAAATTAAATATAAGTTCATGTGGATATTTTTTATTTGTATTTTATACGAAATATTCTTTTCTTCTCTTTTGAACCAATTTTTATTTTAGTCTTTTTAATTTTTTGGGATATCAAATATACAGTTTTTGAGTTGTTGTTCATATTACACCCAGTAAGATATAAATAATATCTACATATATCTATACATATAATAATCTAATTACGTATAAAAAATTGTTACTAAGCCGAACCTGTACATTAAATATTTTTTGAAAAATCTTATTGGAATAGGCATTATTATCGATACAGAGGCCGAATCTATAGTTTTTAGAAGTTTTGTCTGTCTGTCTGTCAGTTTGTCTGTCTGTCTGTGAACGCATCACAAAAAACCCACAGGAGGGATTTTGATGAAATTTGGTATGACGAAAGCTGGTTATCCGGGTCAACATATAGGATACTTTTTGCCGCGGGAAAATATATCATCTCTGAGAAATCTATACTATTAAAGCGTATCTAGGGACGAACCCGAGTGTGTCGCTAGTACTTAAATATTAAAATAGTAAATGTACTTTTTGTATAAACTACCAGGACAGCAACAAATACGACGAGTGGTCGCACCACCGCGCGCCGCACCTGGCGGCGGTGATGGCGGCGGTGCTGGCGCCGCCGCGGCGCGCGCACGCCGCGTTGCTGGCGGCGCTGCTGCCGCCGCTGCGGCCGCGCTACTACTCCGTTTCGTCGGCGCCGCGCGCGCACGCCCGCCGCCTGCACCTCACCGTCGCCGTCGTGGTGTATAGGACGCAGAGTTAGTATTTCAGTAAAATAATTTTGACGACACGTTTGGCTCAGTTTGTAGTCGCCCTACCAGGATGTCATACTGTTGAATTGTCATACGCCATTATCTTAAAATTGATTTATTTTTCCGTATTTTATACAAAAAGAATTAAAGAAAACTAAAATTGATATATTTTATGGCATCTTATCTAAGTCCGCAGACACGTATCACATACCGAATATTATTATAGTTTTTTTTAATGAAAAACATTGTTTTAGATGGAGAAGGTCCGACTCACTACGGTGTTTGTTCAACATATTTGGAAAGTCTGAAACCTGGGGACGAAGTTTTTGCATTTATACGGCGGTAAGTACTTTATTAACTATTTGATTAGTTTCCATATTAGAGAATCTTCCCCATATATATTTGTAATATAATTCTCATAATTAAAATCAACACAACGAAGCCAGAACAAGTTCTTATAAACATATCTATATTTCTCTATCAACAGAGCACCAAGCTTCCACATGCCGCAAGACATTTCAATACCTCTCATTCTAGTAGGACCAGGGTCTGGAATCGCTCCATTTAGAGGATTTTGGCATCACAGAAGAAGTCAAATAAGAGAAAATAGTAAGAAGCCCGGACCTATCTACTTGTTCTTTGGATGTCGATACAAGGGCATGGATCTATATAAGGAGGAAAAGGAACAGGCGTTAGCGGAAGGTGTCATTACAAAGTCACTTTTAGCGCTTTCCAGAGAGGAAGGGTCCAACAAGGTTAGTTGTAAAATTATCTATGATTTATGATTTTTTAAGATATATTAGTTTAAATATTTTTAATGACTTCATTTCGTTCCGTATTCGACCCATACGAAAGTATCTTTGAATATAAGAATTTTTTTTTTCAAAAACTAAATATTAAATTTTTAATCTAAAAATTAAATTTAAAAAATGATATGATGATGATATGATATGATGATAACATATGACTTGAAAGTGCATATTTTTTGAAAGCGTTTCCGTTATCTTTAGTTTTTGTTAAGAATCATTTATAAGTAAATCGCTATATCAAAGTAAAGTATTAAGTAGATTCCAGTAAACCCTTTCATGCTATCAATCCTTGTTCGGCAGAAGTCAAGATATACCAAATGCTTGCGATAGAGATAATGTAATAAACTTTGAGAGATCCTTAACCTATCTTATCCTATATTATACAAAAATAAATAAACCACTGTTTTCCTAAACATAAGGCCAGTTAGACCTGATCAGTTACGTAAGAGAGAATAAAAATAATTCATGTATCTTTCGATACTTGTTGCTCTGAAAAAGGTCGCCATTCGTTTGTATTTTATATAAACAAAATTTTATATGTATTATGTCGTAGTATAAGCTTATACTGACTTATATACTGACAACACGTTTGACTCAGTTTGTAGTGACCCTACTTGGTGTGCCAGTGGTCACGGGTTTGAGTCCCGCTGGGGCATTCATTTGTATGATGAGCATGAATGCTCCTACTCCAGTCATGGGTGTTTATATTTATAATATGTATGTATTTAAAGTTATATAAATGTGTAGTGTTTCAACTATCTGGTACCCATAACACAGCATCGTAGCTTACCATGGAACTAGATGGAATACCATACCATGGAACTAGGTGTTAATATCCCAACATATTTGTTTATTTATTTAAGCTTATACCATTTAGAAAACTTGTTTGAGAATAAATGAGAGTGAATTAATCCATGTTAAATATTACATGCTATTCGATATATTTTGATGTTTTCGTCCCATTTGAAAGTAAAACAAAACTTCATGCTCGTATGTCCAAAAGCAACAAACATTGAATAAAGCGTCCCTACGTAAAGTTTGCCTTTTATTTTGACACGACTCAGACCGACCGAAATTAACATGCATAGCAAATTATTAATATATTTTTTTACGAAAAAGTTTATATTTTTTATTCTCTATAAAAATATGATAATCGATATTATTAATGCTCTTTAAACCTACGATTACATACAGAGTATTTCATTTATGTAATAATATCTAAAAAAAAATGATTACCTGATTGTATTAAAAGTTCAATTTTTTTTAGAAACACGTCCAAGCTCTTTTAGAAGACGAAGGTGCGAATATAACCCGTCTATTAATGAATGAAGGCGGCCATTTTTATGTGTGCGGTGATTGCAAAATGGCGGAAGAAGTTCAACAGAAGTTGAAAGAAGTTATCACACAACATGGAAATCTGTCGGAAGAGGAAGTGGAAGATTTCATATTATATTTAATGGTATGGTAATTTTTTTTTTACTTTTTATATTGCATATAGAAATATACCTTTCACACAAGACGTTCTTTGTCAAACACGTTAAATGGTTACCATTAAATGGTTAATGGAATTTTAGTCTATTACAAAAAGTTATTTTAACACGATATTTGAACAACAATATTTGATATATAACGTAAAGTAGCAGAAAAAAATCAATAGATAATTTTAGTGATAAACTTAATATTAAGTATGGAACAATAAATAATAGTAATTAATGTTATCTTCCTTACAGGACGAGAACAGATATCACGAAGACATATTCGGCATAACATTACGTACTTCGATAGTGCACAAGGCTTCACGGGAAACGGCGAAAAGGACAAGATTCGAATCTGGATCATAGCTAACTAATTAAAACAAATAATAAACATATTTTAATAAAATTTTACTATTTTTATAAATTTTAATATAGTGTTTTTATAAAAAAATGACTGTCCATCACAAATTGTCAAAATAAAGTATAAAACAGCACAGACTAGAAACTCGAACTCGAAAAATATTTCTGCCCGCACCCCTAATGCGTGAAAATCGTATTCTTGTTTTTCTTTACCGATCCATTAAAATCTTATACAACTTAATTTTAAATCGTGCTAACGGGATAATAAGAGCTAGATTCAGTACATGATTTATATATGTGCAAAGTTTCATTCCAAATCAGTTCATCGGCTTACGTGTGATTGCGTCATAAGCATCGAAAAGTCTTGACATTTACAATATTAAAACGGTGCATAACACAAGAGGGTTTTTCAACTGAAAACCTTGGAATAAAATGATAACCACCCTAAAAATAATTACAGTTATTTTCCAACTATTTAATCACTTTAAAAGGACTATCCATTCCATATGTAAAATGTATATATTATTCATTTATCCACACTAATATTATAAAGAGGAAAGATTTATATTTTTGGATGTTTGTAACGGAAAAAATTTAAAACTACTAGACTGATTCAGATGAAATTTGATAAGAAGATAGATTGAGACCCAGGGAAGGTCATAAGATATTTTTTATTCCGGAAATCATCCTTTAAGGGGGTGAAAATGGGGATAAAATTTTGTATAGGGAATCAACCTGGGGACGAACCCGAGCGAAGCGAGGGTGAGTCGCTAGTTATATTTGAAATGAAACTTATTAATGCATTTTCAAAACCGTATCATAAATAAAGCGTTTAAATGAACTCGTCTAAACATTATTTTGTTTATAAGATTAGTTACTAATATTTTTGACTAAATAAGACGGTCTAAATTGACTCGGCATTTTATTTGATATATATTATTTCAGTAAACAGTATTATTAGAATATTTTTGTCTTCAATAAACACAACCGAATCTCTTTGCGTCACAATAATAAATTATATAAAAAAAGAAAGTCCGAAAAACACTAAAATATAAAAAATAAGTGATCAGTAGTTTTCATTTACTATAGATACCTAATCAGATACTTTATAAAATTGACTTGAAAAATCGATCACCCCTATTTTCTACACTTAGGGGTGGATTTTTTTTTCAAATTCAAATGGGACCAACTTTGAGGATCAATCGGACTTAACTGTAAAAAGTTATGCGTGGTCAAACATAAAGAAAAATATACGTGTCGAATTGAGAACCTCCTTTTTTGTCGGTTAAAAGTAATGAGAATATTTAAGATATTTTTAATTCAAGTATAAATGACATTTTCTCATATAAACACCCATGACTGGAGTACAAACATTCGTGCTCATCACACAAATGAATGCCCCCAGTAGGGTTACTACACACTGAGCCAAACGTGGCGTCGTATGTTAGTACTGATGTAAATATTGTACGATTATTGAGTGCTTTATACAAAAATAAGTATAGAATAAGACTATTATAAAAAGGTTGCATGATAAGCCAAAGTGAATATAAGCACATACAATTAAATGAAATACTATATCTATACAACAAATGTGTTTTATTTTTAGATATTAACCAGAATAATAAATTGGTATTTAAATGTATTCTGCCTTTTTTAACGTCCCACTGCTGGGCGCGGGCCTCCCTTCAATAACATTAATTTTCGACATGATCGCCACTAGCCTCACGGTGAAGAAAAACATCGTGAGGAAACCTGCATGTCTGAAAGAACCTAGCAAGTTTTCGAAAAGCATGTGGATTCCGCCAACCCGCACTTAGCCAGCGTGGTGGACTATGGCTTGATCCCCCTCGTATTGAAGGGAGGCCCGTGCCCAGCAGTGGGATGTTAAAAATGGCTGAATACATACATTTAACTGTACAGCAATTTTTGTTCTTTAAATTCTATATTCTTGATAATTCACATACATCGAGACTATTCACAAATATATATAGGTATACTTTAATTTAAAAAAGTGTTCAAAGAAATTTTCTCTGCTATTTTGATAATAACAGAACCATTTAAGTACAAAAAATATTCGAACACACCCAAATAGTAGCCATTAACTTTTTCTTCTAACAACGTGATCGTATATTTCAATTTGCGTGTAGCGCGGCGAATAGATTCTTTGCTTGGTTGTATTTTGTCCGGGGTTCTGGTGCGGGTCGGGGCATATGATTTTGTGATCATGGCGGTTTTGAAACAACAGTCCTCTCTCTGGGTCCATAACTGGCTATATTAGGAATATAAAAATATAATTTTATGATTATTATGCAATGGTAAATTTTAACTGCTTAAATGTATTCATTTAGGGTCCTCTTGCACAAATGTAGGTCCTTATTTCCTCACTTCCAAAGTCCGATATGACCGGAGAAAGATTAGGCGCAGAATGAATATTTCCCACAAGCATGGTAAAGTAAAAGAACTTAACAAAATTCTAAGATACTGCTGGGTTTAAACCTAGCCCAGGAGTCGAATCCAGGGCCTTATTATTGCCAGTCGTGCAAGTTAAACCTATATATCGGTTTTATATAGACTGATATCAATCTTTTTGGTCAAAATAAACATGCACACCTAGCGGCAAGCAAAACCGTGATTAAAACATATCACATAATATCAGTTAAGCACAGGAGGCATCTTAAAAATAGATAATTGTTTAGATATTATATTTTCAGTATATCACTTTATTTTTTTAAGTGATATATTTACATAATTCAACTTCCTGCTTCATCCCGTAAAAAAGAAGGCATTCAGCGATTAATAAGGTTTCCCTAAGATCTTAACTTATTTGAGAACTAATTCGTTACGCTGCGCCATTATCTCTAATAGCATGTTCACATTTTTAAAGCGAAATAGAGCAAGTAATTGCTTTCTTTTATAATAAATTCACAGAAAATTGTATCTTAAAATGGATATTCAATTTGCACAAATATACAGGATAAGTCAGGTCACTTACGTTTCAAGAAAGCAAATAGATGATTTCATGATGTGTTTTAGGAATCTAATATAAAAAAATATATTAAGAGATTTAACAGTTATTTTCTGTAAATAGCCAATGTCATAAAGTCTAATAGATAATTGTCGAATATGAGTGGTATTAAGGTCGAGTATGGTAGTAAAGAAATTGGCTGTAACAGTGAGAGAATTTTTTAGAAGATTTTTTATTTTATGCCAGAGACCCCAAAATTTTAAATATATATTACTACATTACTACTAAGTTTGTTCCTTTCCTAAATTAAATAATTGTATAAGATATCAATTTCGATATTCTCATAACCGGTAGTATATTTTAATTTGAACATTACTATAGTCCACTTATATTAAGAACAGTCAGAGTTTAAGTTAATGCACCGTATTAATCGTTATACGTACGTATGTACATCTATCGAAACAGTCCATTAGGCCCGATCCTCTAGGTTATATTTCATGGACTTAACTGTTATTGCAAATTATTATTTGAGACTTAAATTACTTGTATTAGTCTAGTGTTTAACAATACATCAGCAACCATTTATTTTTTATTTTTTGTATAAATTATGCTTACAAATATTAATTTAGTGCTTTACGTTTACTTACTAACTACGAAAATTAAATTAAAATTTTTAAATACTTAAAATAAAAATATTTATAGAAGGCAAAATAAAATTGAAATGCAAAAAGAAATTGATAATAAAATATACTGACTCTATCTTCCATTTCTTTCACTGCGGTACGAAAATGGAATAACATTTACAGAAATTTTATGAGGTCTTCTATCAAATGCAGATTTCTTGTGTGGGCTATATTTCGATTGAAAATGTATTTTACAAATTTAAAATTATAGATTTTATACCAAATATTGTATTGGATTATGTAATTTCCTATCTATACCAATATTATAAAGCTGTAGAGATAATTTGTTTTTAAACGCATTATTCTCTGAAAATACTGGATTATATATATAGGCTTTTAGGAACTGATCCAGTTACTATACATAAAATATAAACTACACATATTATATTGTATACAAAGTTAATAAATAAGTTTATATACTTATTACGTATATTATATACCAAAAATCTACAAAATTAAATGAAAAAAAACCCGGTCTCACAGTGTTAGTACCTTATAATTCCTACTAATGTTGCTCCTGACAGTGCCATGCCTCCAGTGATAATAGCCTAAATCGCTATCTCTAGGCCATAGCATTTTATTAGCTCGGAAAAACGGCCCCCAATCCTCTGTTAGGAGCCGATGCGCGTAGTCAATATAGCCGGATATTTCGAAACCGCCTTTGGTGAAGTGACGGATGAATATTACAGACTGCAATATGAACGAATGGTTTTGTTAATAAAGGCAAAATATATGGAAGATATATGTAATGTGACGATCGGACTACTATTATACTAAATGCTTATATTATGATTAATACTACACGCAAAAGTTTGTATATGAGTGTTTGTTTGAAGGACTTGGATGGCTTGAAGGACTTGGATGTACATAGATATTCTGAGACTTGGAGTAATACATAGGATACTGTTAGGTAACGAAGGACGTATCCAAACTTTATCTTTATTGTCGCTAGTAATTTCTTAAACTAAAAAGTTTGATTTTTTGTATGTTTGGACACTCTAATCTTTGGCACTTCTAGTTCGGTTCTTATAAATAAAACAGGCGGAGTAGCGTAAATGTTGATCTTTTATTAAAACAAAAATGGATTATTTTATATAACATTAAAACGCTAAAAATAGTTTTTGACTTTTTGTAACTCCGACAACTAAAATGGACGAGCAAGCAAAGTCATTACTTAAATTATTATAAAATAGGACGTTGAAAATATTATAAGCATACGTAAAATTTTTAACTTATGTACATTATAGTAGTTCAAAATGTGTACTGAATTAACCGATAATGTATAATAGAAGGAACATCAAGGAAATATGCGCGAACGCATAATCTTAATCTGGTCACGTTTTACGCTTTTTCTTGAAGTTACTGTAAATTATATTTTATCAACAAATTTTACCAAACAAGACAAACTTTTTAAATCCACTTTGGGCTTACGCCATTTAACTTTGCTTAGCGCGTTAAAGTTATTTGTATTCATACAATGTTGCTACAGTCCCACTTAGAACAGCTTACAAGTTTTAGCTGGGGGCTAAAATTTTAAAACAGGCGAATAGTGTTAGTAGCTGTGGTAGTTCAGTGGTAACGCGTTCGCTTAGTTTATCATGTAAATCAAGTTCAAATTCCAGAACTCGCCCTTTTTTCAAGGTTTTTGGAATAGAGTCTAATACGGCGCATCAGACCAGCGTCGTGAAGTATCATGAGTGTACGTATTTTGTTACACTTAAACTATTGTATCAGCTTTAAATCATCTGTTTGTGATCATATATAGATAATGTAATTGATACCTGTAGAATTCCCACCCTATTCGCCCTCTCTCGTACCGCGAGCTCGCGATTGAAAGGGTCGTCAATTTTAGCCCCCTCACTGACCAGTACATACGGCCGGACTACAGGGTACACTATGCTGTGTATGACAGCTCGACGTGTGTAAAACTCTTTCTCAGTTAACGTATCGCCATTGGCTCTATGACAATATTTAAGAGCTCTTTTACTTTCGAATATTTATGTTTGAGTATATTTTTTTATAAAATAAAATATAGGAATACAATATTTTACGTACCTACTCGTATATAATATTAAAATTATTGCTGGTATTATATGTTAGTTATGGATAATAAAGCTTTATATTTATCAAAGAATATATAAGATCGGTTTAGTAGTCCGAGAGATGGGTAGAAAAGAAACCTGGTAAGATGTTAAACCAATATAAGTGGTCAGTAACATTATTTTTATTATAATAAACATGGGTGTTTATTATAATAAAACATGAACCCTCGGGTGCGATCTGACCTTTTTTGCCTTTTTTATTGATACGTTTGATATGATTATGGAATATATTTTATTTAAATCCACACTAAAATCACGCAAAAATTTTAAAATCCAATTAATGTTATAAATGTGTTGTTACTCCATCACACCAGAACGGCTAAACGGATCTGCATGAAATTTAGCACGGTAATAGATTTATTTTTGTTTTTCACTAGGGACAAACCCGAGCGAAGTGAGAGTGAGTTGCTAGTAAACATATTGTAATTCATAAATTATTATTATACATTACACATACCTATACCCGAGAGCTGCTATAGTCCGAGCCGAGTTGATACTCCTTAGATTACGGAGATCAGCAATTTCTATGAGCGAATCTAAATAATCTTCCCATGTTTCGAAAGGCAACAAGCGTCTATCCGCCTCGACGCTTGGCGGATACTCATTTTTCTTTTCAGCCATTGCCATGATTAGAATTTTATAAATAAACACAAAATGTACCAAAACCAGGTAAAATATTAAAAACTGTCATTGATGCTTTCAATTTGTCAAACGAGATGGGTTGCAGATTAAAAATGTTGTATTTTTATATCGTAATAATACATGATAGGTTTTATTTCAAACAAATGCATAATACATTTTTGGTAAAAGTTAAACAAATTATTTGAGGCACACTGTTGCGTCCTATATTATCGTAAAAACAGTATCGTAAAAAGTGGTAGAGTCTGTAAGTTTGTATGTAGGAGATAATCTCTGAAACTACTGATCCGATACTGAAAATTCTTTCATGAATAAAAAGTCATATTACCTCTGATTATTATAAGCTATTTTTTATTCCGATAAAAATGTGTTTACTGTCAGAAATCAGAATAAGTTTAATGGAACTTGAAAAGAAAGGCTGGTGAGTTACTGTGGGGCAAGTCGCCTGTTTATTAAACAAGCGTTGAAGTTAGCGTATTGTACACGTATAAGTAGTCATACATTTACTTTTAATAAAAGAAACTTTATTTTTTTAAAGAGTTGCTTTGTTTGTAAACCAATTTGATAGGAAATAAAACTAAAAAAAATCAGTTTGCATTTCACATAATTTCAAATTTCCAAAAACACAATTACTGACTATTTTTAATTCTAAAATAAGATATTATTACACTTCAGACCTCGATATTGAATGAAAAACTTTCATCTGTAGAGCTTTTAAACTATTTGTAATAAAAGAAGTAGTCATACTTAGTAGATTCCTCGAGAAGAATGGCTTTTATTGATAGATTCAATGATTTAAAACTGTTATAGAGTTTTCTATTCAACCATTTGAGAGAGTCGTAGTATATGTCGTCTTAGCATCTTGTAAAGATTATTCTTTATTAAATGTCTAAGGGCCACTTGCTCCACAATTTTTAACTTGATTTAAATATTTAGATATGTCGAACAACTTTAACTTGTTGTGAAAGTGAGTTAACTGTTACATAAAAAAGAGCTCGGAGGGCTCAACTATGGAAATTGAAATGTCATTTGAATTTGAATATTCATTAAGATTTTCCAATGTATCTGTAAAGTTTCTTAAATATTTTATATTTTTTATAAGCTGAATCAGGATTTTCCTTATTTTTTTAATATATATATGACAAAATTTTTGGTTCCTGATATCGCATTTTTAGCAGGTCGCTCGTAAATTCGTAAAGACGAATCTATATATATAAAAATGAATCCCTATTTCCTTTGGTCACGCCATCACGCGTGAACGGCTGGACCGATGTAACTATTATTTTTTGTTGTGCCTGTTTGTAACGCAAAAAATTAAAAGATTGCGCGGAAAATTATAAAATTTAAGAATATTTATTTAAGAGTACTTAACAACCATATTAAAATTTATATGGCTAACGCTGGGTAATAACTATTTATATATATTTAAAAACGTACCTAGTGACTAAGCCGAGCAAATCGAGGGTGAGCTGCTAGTAACCAATAAAGGTTGCTAACACGAATTCAGGTATCTCTTGTAATGTTCAAGCGCTCTCGCGGTGCTTGCACCGTAACGACTTTAAGTTAGCCCTTGAGTAGTAAAATTTTATCTCTATAGAAACTATTACTTTAAATTTACTTTTAATTTCTTTTTAGTTCTTAAGTTTGAGCTCTGACTTTTTGACAAAATATTACGCTTATCCACAACATCTACTAATATTATAAATTCGAAAGCTTGTGAAGAAGTATGGATGTCTGGGTGTCTGGATGTATAGATGTGTGGATATTAGTTACTCTTTCATGCAAAATTTACTAAATGGATTTTAAAATGGAACTTTACAATAATATAACTCATACTTCAGATAATATATATATATAAGACGGAGGAGGATTTAGTTACCTTTTTCTGTTATGAAACCTTATCATTGTTTAAAGTCACTATGTTCTTTAATTTACTTATAATTGCTTATTTTGAATTTAGAGCAGAGATTTAGTCTCGAGCGGGGTCGAGACGCCATCACGACATTCTTTGGAGATACGTGGCTTAGTAACGTTGGTTGATCATAGAGAGTTATATTTGATATTGTAGTTGGAAGTCGATGATCGGTGACTGTGAACCCGCTAGCTCTAAATCATTAGAATTACCGTTTCAAGTTTATAACATTGTGACTTCCCTGATTAAATTGTGTATTGAGCACTGAATACTTTATTATTTGAGCCCTGATAACGCCCACAAGATGAGTAACCACTAAAGATGATGTTCGTAGTATATGGATAACACGACATCAGAAGTGGTATGATACCCGAAGAACAGGGCAAAGATAGATGACAGCGGCCATTTGAAAATTTTGTTGCGAAAATTTTCTCAAACTGAAACGAAATGCGATGTCAAATGTTAAAAAGGACGCACAAAATGGCGATGCATATGCGGATTCTTTTACAGAAGATTTACTTTTACTTTGATAATGATGAATCATGATGATATGATATATGCAAGATGCTCAAAAGATTAAAATAATCATAGATGTCTCAATTTAATTTTTATGAAATGACATGACGTCGACAAAGATTTGTTGCTAGCTGGATTTGATTTTCTTGATATTATCGCAGAAATATTTTTGAACACAATATGTATGGAAAAATTAAATGGAAAATTTGTTTATTTCAGGATGATATATGAAATTAATTTATTTAATCGATAAATTACGAGAATTATTTTTGAAATGTTTTTGTTCGATGCTTATAAGGACCTTCTTCTAGTGATGAAATAAAATATATTTATCGAAGCAGCATTAATTTTCTCTATTATTTTTCATTATTTTATCATGAATTATACAGTGGGCGTTATATGGGAAGTGTTGGTTCAAATGAAAGTCGATGCAATCACAGTTGTATTTCAAATTAACAATAATCACTTTGTACATAGTTACACAGCACTTCACTACACAACCATATAGCAAGCACTTCACTTCACTATTACCACGTATAGACAATACGGAACGCAAGACAGTTCCTAGTGGAGCGGTCCTAAGCTTAGCTCGGCTCGAAGGCAAGTGTCAGCCCTCTTAGCACCCCTCCCTTAGCTAGGCTCCATCGTAGGACGAAGCTCGCCGAGTGTTGGCGATTACACCGAAGGTGCTGCCATCACTCAGGCGTCGTGCCGCGCTTCGTTTAGCGACCGTATTGATGACCGTCTCCGACACGGCCATCCTGCGTGCACACGCCCTCGTGTGTTAGCCGTGTGTTAGCCTGCAACCAAATAATCAACGAAAATACTTGCTCGACTCGGTCAATCCTGACTAGATAAAACTTAACTTTGAATCTGAATCATTTTTATTCTAACGAAAAGCTTTAACGCTAACACCTTTGTTAATTTTTTTTTAACTCCAAGTCACTATTTATCTCTAATGTAACTAATAACGTCTAATCTAACTAATAACATCCAGAGCCATGTACCAACATCATTCAACACTTTAGCAATCAAAACTAATTTTCAAATTTACTAGCACCTCTGTAAACCACTCTTAGGCCACGGCTTTACAAGCCAACCAGCAATCACAATTGCTCCACAATCCAGGTGCATCCACTACGGGATCACCGTGTGTATCATCCTCTCGATGACTACACACTATGGTCATAACAGACCCCGACCTCCGCCAGAACTAAACGCACATCACACACCCACGGTCTATTTAGTTTGAGCTTCCTCAAAAGACCGACTTTTACCAGGCTATGACTACGTAATAGTTACTAGTACGGTCGACACTACTACGGCCGTCAGAATGCTTACATCGGTTTCCATCGACTTCATCAAAACATTTGCTTGGCATGATGATCATTATTTACATCAACCTCTATTGGTACATGACCTACTAGAATTTTTGTGTAAAGAATTTATAGCCGTCATGTTAATAGAATACCTTTCAATATCTCATGTTCTATCATGATACAATTTTGTAAGTAATAGTTAGGCAAAACATAATATTTCAAAAGATTTCAAGAGAATGACCGTTAATCGTTACAAAACAAATTTTACTCTGTGCGGAATATTCTGTTTTGATCAATACTAGAAATTGCAAGGACAAAATCGTTAACCACACAATTTGACTGCTAAATGTTATCTTACTAACGAATATTCAGCAACATGATTATAACAAAAGCAATACAGATTACCACTATGCCATTGAGCATTCGAAGATGGTTGTACAACACATACATCCACGCGTCGTTCCGTTCGTGCTGCACCCATATTGCTACCGTCCACTTGACTGGCACTACTTATGCACCGGAGCGTGATGTGACCAGGCTTGCCACATTTGAAGCACACCAGAGACTTCACTGCAGGCTGCAATGCCGTTGCTGTCATCGAAGGTCGTTCCACACCCACATTTACCTTGCTTCTACACTATGACCGCTTATGACTCACTTTTCTGCACTTATAACATTTTAAGATTAGCTTGGCTCGTTTAGCCTCAGGCACTTTTGAAAAATCATCAGATAAACTAGCTTTGCGTTTCAAATGAGAGAATGCGTGCAATCCCTGCTGCAGTCGATCTCGCGAAGCAATTTTCGTAGTAAAGGCCAATCGTTGTAATTTCGAATTAAACTGACATAAGTGAGCAAGGACAGTCGCAATTGCTATCTGATTCTTGCTAGCGTCTTTCCAACGATTAGTCAGTGACGTCATCAGGCGATTTGCGTACGTAACGAGTTTCTTTTTGCATTTGGCTTGTCACTGTTAAAATTAATTAGCGTACCAGCCAATGTCTCGGTGGAAATAAATCTCGCCTTGAAAATCACCTTGAACTCTTCCTATGTTATTCTCTGGTATACAAATTGTGATAGCCACGTCGACCCTTATCCTTTTAATTCCTTACTGACTTAAAACAAGCTGGCCGCCGTATGGAGGGTATTCGGAAAAACACAAATCTGCACTCGCAAACAAAGATCTTGCGTCCGTATCCATATTGTCAGGGTCAAATTCGCGTAACTCGACGTTCATCTTCGTC